CCCCAAAATTGATGACAAACAAATCAAATAAGTACATTTGAAAAATCTTTATGATTATCGCCTTGCGAAAATGGTGTATTATTCCAAGAAAAATTTGCATAGTAAAAGTAATAAAGCAAAAAATAAAAACTATATGCTTTTGTTAAGTTTTCCTCTCTTCTTTTTGTACTCTTTGAAGCTATCTTTCGTGTACATGATAAGTACAAGAAAAGAAATAAGAAATATATAAACTAAATAATTAATGAAAAATTATAAAAAAAAAAACAAAAAAAAAAGTGTAAATAAAATGAGTAAAGAAAAACACACAAAAACTTAAAAAGAAAGCAAAGTTTGTTTGTATCTGTTTAGTACGGAGTTCGTTGTTGTTGTAGCAGCACTTGGGCTTTGCAACTGGCCTTCATTTGGTTGTTTTTTGTAGCAGCACTGGTACCAATGCCTGCCTAAATCGGCTACTCCATTAATCGTTGTCGTCAAGCTTAACTAAGCGGTATACCCGTGAAACGTGTTATTTCGACGGAAAATAGCAGGCTTAACACCTACTACTTACTCCAAGCTCGTCTACGACATATCAAATGTATGTACCGCATGTAACGGCAATCCAACAGTACAAATAACTGAGGAAATATCAGAGAAATTCTTCGAAGAACTTCTGTGTGGACCTAAGGGACATTCCAGTTGCTGCCATAATCCAGGGACCCTTTTCAAGAATGAATAAGTCTCCGGAGCCAGACGGCATATTTCCGGCACACATTTCCGAAAGAACAAACAAGATTTTTCAAAAACTGGTTAACATTTCCTGGAACATGTTTCAAGAGGTTGGACGAAAGTCAAGAAACTTCTTACCAAATAAACCCCCAGACTGTCCAAAATCGTACAGGACGATTAGCCTCTCATCTTTTATGTCAAAGATACTGGAAAAGCTATGGGACCATCACTTAAGGGAGGTCATACTCGCTTAGACTCAACGACATAGAAAAGATATTTGCATGTGTTTATTTATGGATATAGACGATGCCTTTAACAAGGCAAGCTTCAAATCTATGGAAGTGGAATTCGCCAATAGATAAGCAAGATGGTGACCTAGAAAACTGTAAAGGCGAACCTAGGACCCGAACAACTCAGTATCACTACAGTAAACTTCTATCCAGTGTTATATGGTCCATAGTGGTTGACGGTATACATATAGTTCAAGTTCTTAATGCAAAAGAATACCGTAACGTAGGATATCCTGATGATAAATCCATCATAATAAAGGTCGATAATGAAAGAACCCTTAAGGACTTGATAAAAGACGCCCCAGATATAACGTGCACTGGATCAAGAGAGAGAGG